CATACATGTTAAAGTGGGTTTTCAGTGTTTTCACTATATACGTACAATGAGTGCCGTGCACACGAAAAATGTTCAGCAATGTCCAATAACACGGTAACGTAGTTAACGYGGTCACGTGGTAACCTAATCAACCAATCACAGCATCAGATTTAAGCAAACGTATATATTATAGTGGAAACCCTCCTTTTGTTATAATAGGTATTATGGTGATTAGTGAGTATTACTATTGTACCAGTGTCTGGGTATTTCACCTATGAAATCCCAATTCTCTGTATATATCAAAGTTTTTAAGCGTTTTCTATGATATACCCGAGGTCACCATAATATGTGTAATACTTCCCAATTTTCCACAATATTTCCATCGTTCATTATGGCTGCGAAATATAATAATATATAATCGATATGAATTACGTAATAGCTAATGTGATTTATGATTGGCATACGATGTTAGCGATATGTTGCAGTTAAAAATTAAAAGTAATAAATCAAAACGCCAATAAATCGTATTGTATACCTACGTGATTTGACTGGCGTTAAAAAATAAAATACACCAAATAACGTTCAACTTACTATAATATGATAATACATATTTTATATAAAAACTATAGTGTAATAATGTGCGATCTCTGATTAGGAAAAGAAACGTAGTTTAAGGGAACGTGAATATTTTTTATCGTGATGCTTCAGTCCTAGAGTAGTCTTTTGTAGGCCAGAAAATACACATTTTTTTTTTTTTTAAGTACAGATAAACAATTATTATTTTAGTAGGTATTTATCATTATTTCATTACTATATACAGTTTAAATCCTATTTAATGAATATGATAATACAGATGGAAAAATAACTTAATTATTTATTACCATTATGGTAATGATTGTTTGGACTTACAATGTATGTATTGTATATTATACACCATACACTGTTTGTGTACCTACGATAATCTATGGTACCTAATTGGTATACTACCTATTGATAACTGTGGGCAGTATACAGCGCAGAAATATTATAATATTATAATAATAAAATTCGTTTCGTTTCAATTTACCTATATTTCTGAAGGAGGAGAAGCAATATTGAACGTTGCTCCCGAATACAACAATCGCAACGGTCTCGACGAAAAACTAATATTTGATACATTCTGTTTGACTTTTAAAACAAAGGAAAATGTCGAAATGTCGAGGCGTTTGCAACTGGTACACTGCAGCGAACCAGTGTATGAAAGAAAATAAAGAGAACATCTACAATAACATAGATCAAAAACTATAGTTTTTGATCAATGTTATTGTTGGTTGTTAAATATAAATACATATTTAACAACCAACCGGTTGTTACCTAACCGCCCGTATAGGTSTACATTATTTTTAAATATTTCACCATGATTTGTTATTACAAGGGACAAGGGTCGTTCTACACCCAAAAATAATACATCAACATTTGAATTAAAAACAGCATCGTGTTCGGGAGTTAAAGTATACGAATCAGTTCACTTAAAAAATCCTGTTACAACCYGATGCATTGTTATTGACCATCGCTTAGTGCTTGCGTAAGTAATACTACCTATACCTATAGTGTATGATATTTGATTTGTAATAATAATAATWATTATACGCAATAGTGAATACTGAAAACCGTTCAGAATGTTTAGAGCCGTGTAAATAGGTACCTATACCTATATGTTGCAAAATTACAGCAGGATGCACTATACCAGTATAACTATCATAGTCAGTGTGAAACTGTGATGAATGTATATTATTATAAGCCAATGAACACCAAAAACAATTTACATACCGAAAACCAATGCAATAATAATAATAATAACAATAATGTTCTTATGAATACGTCTCTTGTAAATAACTTACACATTTCCGCTTTGGTGTTTGTTCTATTATAGTGCACAGGACGCTGTTGAACTTTGAAATTTACCTACGATATTATTAAAATATATATGAACGGGACAGTAAAAAAACGTTTACACGACAGAACGCGTTCGGCGGTGACGGACGGACGGACGTGGAAAATATTTTATAAAGATATTACAATAATGATGATCAGAAAGAAAACATAAATAATTCTWGAACAACAGTAACGGTCGGGCATGATGGAGACCTATATATACAGTATACGTGGACTACATAATATATTATAATATTATTATTAAAACATACCGCGCAGCCGTCCGCGATAATATACACACCGGACAGCGTTTGTCGATTTACTGCCGCGCGTATCTATTATACCTATAGTCGGGTGTCTATACCGTCGTTTTTGACATCATCGTATTTGTGTTTACAAATTAATATTCAAATTACCTTATTTACTAGGTTTTATCAATATAATATTTGTGTGTGTGTGGATTATATGCGCGCTGCTCACTGTTTGGATATCACGAAAACCAACAGATAATAAAATTTCATCTCTGGCCGCGGACTTTGTTCGACGTAAATAACATAATATAGGTACATCAATAATATATAGGTACTATATCATAATACGTACAATAATTAAGATGGTATTGAGCACTCTGTGCACAACGCTTTATCATTYMTATATATTTATTATATTATTATAAATGAATTTGTATCGTTATTCGTACTTAWAATATGACAATAATAA